TAATGATAAGAATTTTAATAATAAGAAAGAAATTTTAATGTTCCTTAAATATATTATATAATAGTTATATAATAAATTGTTTTTCATAAAGAAATTAGAAAGAGGGTGAGAGAATTTTCGAATTGGACAATCATCATTAATGGATTTCCACATTTAATGCAATATTACGCAGTCCATATACAATATTCTACTTTATGAGTGCACAAATAATATATTAAAACAATTTTATAAAACCTTTTAGCATCATGGTTACTTCATAACTAACAAATGTCTTTTCCAGTATATTCCAGTATTCTGCTTCGTAATACTGTTGATAATTTTAACTGAAACTCATTGCACGCATATATAAGACGAAAAGCCCACGTCACATTTTACATACTTGATACAAACAGACTAACTTATATATTACGCATAGAAAAACATTTACATTTAGTACCACAGTGTATATAACATTAGTAACATTTAAGATGCGAATTAGACGATTAATATCCTAGAAATTTCTGTTAATCGTGCTTGGTTTGAAAAATCCAAGATAAAATGTAGAAAAGATGGTGGTTGTTACACGCCACGGACTTCCAATCTTTAATGTATCCTTGTTTCATCGTTGATCGCATTCTCGGAATGTTTCCCTACAAAATTAATGCTTCGACTTTTGGGACTTCAAAATCATACTACATACTATCAATCCGTGATTATCTACATACATTTGCGGCATTTATGACATAACGCTCATTCACTCTTATTTATAAAGTTAATTTGGAAGACATGACCAAAAATCTTGAGGCAATCTTTTACTATACATGTAGTGTTTTATCATGATTATTACACAAATCTTAATTGCGTTCCGCAAATGCATTTGCTACAGACTATTTTGAAGCTCCCTTCGAAATTACTCTCGAAGTCAAAAACTGTCCATATTAATTCATGTTAAGAATATCTTGGATATCATAATCGTGATCGTGCAAATATATATATATATTTTCCTAAATTAGAGGCGTTTAATTTTTTGAGTGGCCTAGCCAGAATATTAGCAGCATATTGCATCCTGCTGGTATTTCAGATAAATATGTTATATATAAATTATGTTTATATATTAAAGACTTGTTTCAAGAATATTAATGATAATCTGACGTATATACAAAGACTCATGATAAATGATACAAGACCATTATGTGTTTTTATATTGATGAGCAACATAAAGAGAAGTTTGCTAATAGAACTAAAGGCCCTGAAGAAGCGACATCTGATGCTTAATAACACAGTGCAAATAATGAACATAGTTTTCAGTTTGCAACTTCTTGCTATTATAATTACGATCTTTTCTATTACGACTTTTGAATTATATTTCTATATAGTGCACTGGCAAGATGGCATACTCATTATTAGTTTTAATAATCCGTTTTTTGACAAATTTTTAATGACCATAATACATCACTTTATACAAATGATGCTACTTATGTGGATCTGCGAGACCGGAAAGAAGGCTCAACAAATTCATATCACTATTCATGATTTTCTTAACAACACTAGTGATAAACAAATCAAAGAGGTAATAAGATTGTAATTTTATTTGCATATATATTTAATTTTTTTATGTAGAATTTATTTTTCTAGAAATGTATTTACGTCAATTTTGTTAAACATTACCGAGTTATAATGCAAGAATAAAGATGGTATTTTTCAATTTTACGATGGTGTTCTTCATTTTTTGCGTTTATTACATTAACGTTGTAGTTGCAGCTATTTTCTTTATAACTACTGCATTGCCATAATATTTTTTCGGCAAAAGGTCTCAATATAGACGCAACGCTTTTTGCAGCAGTAAGTAATATAGTTATTTAGTTTAATTAATCCATATTGTTGATACATTTTATTATTGTTTTCAGTTTATGGGGTATCACGACATATATATATATATATATA